TCTCTTCTCTTCTCTTCTCTTCTCTTCTCTTCTCTTCTCTTCTCTTCTCTTCTCTTCTCTTCTCTTCTCCTCTCCTCTCCTCTCCTCTCCTCTCCTCTCCTCTCCTCTCTTCTCTTCCCTCTTCCTCCTCCTCTCCTTTTCCCTCTCTCCTCCTCCTGCTTCTGCTTCTTCTGCTTCTTCTCTTTGTCTCCTCCTCCTCCTGTTTTTCTCCTCTTCTCCTTCTCTTTCTCCTCCTCCCCCCCCCTTTATGTTTTTTTTTAAACAAACAAACACATAATACATCCATCCTTCCATGTGTCTTCTCGGTATTTCTTCTGTGACTTCGTCTTCTTTTTATTACTCTTCCTATCTTCATTTCTTCCTTGATAATTTCCATTTCTCTGTTGCAATATTTTCCTCAAATTACAATACATTTAATATAACATTCTCCTTATTTAATTATCACAATCTTTATCTATATCTCTTTTCTAACCAATCATAAAATTTCCCCCATGTCTTATAATAATCCGTATCCTCTCTCTCTTTAATCATCAAAGTTAATCTGTTCATTTCTGCACAATCTAAGATTTTTTTAATTACTTCCCCTTCTAAAGGGATTATCTCTGCTTTCCACCTTTGCGCAAATGCTATCCTTGCTGCAGTTATTATATGTATAATCAAGTATATATTTTCTTTACTAATTTTCTAAAGCTCAGGTTTTAAATCAAGGTGTTGTTGGATCATTTTTTTAAAACCATGTCTTAATTCTGCTCCAATAGTCTCTAGCTTCTGAGCATGTCCACCACATTTGATAATAAGATCCTGGTATTTGATGGCATTTCCTTCTCTTTCTCCTCCTCCTCCTCCTCTTCTTATCCCTTCCTTCTCTCCTTTTCCTCTCCTTCTCCTCCTCCTCCTCCTCCCCTCTTTATGTTTGAAGAGCATGAAAGAGGGATTCGGTCTAAAAACTTCCTCACTTTAATTAAACTGTCCGTGTTGTTTCTGAAAGTGACACCCTGTGAAGTTACATCTTGCCGTTTTGTCTCATTTTATGTCCTTGGGAAAGTGGACCATAAATCTGCACCAGCATTAATAAAGAAAGGGTGTTATGTAAAGCTTCCCATTTTCTCACAACCTGCCAACCTATATGAGTAAATACAGGCACTATTACTAGAAAAGCCAATATATCTCAATTTGCTTGTCACTCTTCCAACCGGCAATCTAGGAATTGATGACTATAATGTATTTTTAGGACAAGGAGGTATTATCTACGCATTATATTTACGGACAGGTGCTGATGGATTGCCGAAGTAGATTGAAAAGACATGTTATTCCAGGGAAACTGCCAGCTAAGGCATCAATTTCAATTCTCCCAAAGTCAAAATTGTTCTGAATTGAGAACCAAGAGACAAGACCAAGCAGTTATAGCTAGTCCTACGACCACAGTTAACCAGTCATGGGATTCAGCCGGTTCGGGCTAATTTGAGTGAGCCGGTTGTTAAATTACTGGCCTAGTCCCTCCCCGTCCCTTCCAGGAGTCCCCACGTGTCCGTTTTTGCTCCCAGGAGGCTGCAGGGAGGCCTACTAGGCCCAAAACAGGGCATTGGGGGGGGCGGTGCGCCTCCCCGCGCCCGTTTTTGCTCCCAGGGGGGTGCAGGAGGCCGAGTGCTGCCTATCACACCCCATGGCCACGCCCACCATGGCCACGCCCATCCAGCCCGTCATTAGGGCAGAGAACCGGTTGTTAAATTATTTGAATCCCACCACTGCAGTTGACTCCCACATTTCCTTTTACTAAGCAAGTGAGCATGGTCTCATTTTACGGCCTCCCTTGCCGCAGTTGTTAAGCGATTAACAGGGCTGTTAATTGAATCCGGCTTCCGCATCGACTTTGCTGGTCGGAAGGTCGCAAAAGGGAATCACCTGACCCCCAAGACACTCCGACCGTCGTAAATACAAAGCCAGTTGCCAAATGTCCAAATTTGGATCATGTGACTACGGGGATGCTGCAATGGTCGTAAGCGTGAAAAACGGTCGTAAGTCACCTTTTTTCAGCGCCATGGTCACTTCAAACGGTCACTAAGTGAAATGATTGTAAATCGAGGACTCCCTGTATAATCCAAAAACTGTTCCTTGAGTCTTGACTTGGAAATGATTTGGTTTTGACACAGTGCCAAAGATTTGTTTTAATGGAGACAATGCAGTTAATCCTTGACCAGAGATGGGTTTCAGCAGGTTCTGACCAGTTCTGGAGAACCGGTAGCAGAAATTTTGAGTAGTTCGGAGAACCGGTAGTAAAAATTCTGACTGGCCCCACCCCCATCTATTCTCTCCCTCCTGAGTCCCAGCTGATCGGGAGGAAATGGAGATTTTATAGTATCCTTCCCCTGGAGTGGGGTGGGAATGGAGATTTTGCAGTATCCTCGCCCTGGAGTGGGGGGAAATGGAGATTTTGCAGTAACCTTCCCCTGGAGTGGGAAGGGAATGGGGATTTTGCAGTATCCTTCCCCTGGAGTGGGGAGGGAATGGAGATTTTGCAATATCCTTCCCCTGGAGTGGGGAGGGAATGGAGATTTTGCAATATCCTTCCCCTGGAGTGGGGAGGGAATGGAAATTTTGCAGTATCCTTCCCCTGGAGTGGGGAGGGAATGGGGATTTTACAATATCCTTCTCCTGGAGTGAGGTGGGAATGGAGATTTTGCAATATCCTTCCCCTGCCATGCCACCATGCCACGCCCACCAAGCCACGCCCACAGAACCGGTAGTAAAAATTTTTGAAGCCCACCACTGTCCTTGACGTACAGTCATTCACTTAGCGACGGTTAGAAATTGCAACAGCACTGAAAAAAGTGGCTTAAAAAAGGTCCTCATACTTACAACCATTGAAGCGACCTCAGGGTTATGTAATTAAAATCCAGCAATTGGCAGCCGGCATGGATTTACGACGGTTGTAGCATCCCTGGGTCGCGTGATCCCCATTTGCACCGACAAAGTCAACGGGGCAAGCCAGATTCACTTATTGACTGCATGATCCACAGCAAGCAAGGATCGCAAAATCAGGCGTGATTTCCTTAACAAGCGCCTGACTTGGCAATGGAAACTCTGCTCCGTTGTAATTTGAGGACTTACCTGTACTGAGTGTGGAAAGCAAAAGTGTGGAAGGAGTGGTCTATGGAGATTGTCCATCATCCAGGTTGTCCCAAAGGTCCTTTTTTTCAAGAAGCAACAGGACTTGTTTTTTCCTTTTGAAGACGTTTCACTTCTCATCCAAGAAGCTTCTTCAGCTCTGGCTGGATGGTGGAGAAGGGAAGGATTTCTACTCCTTGCAGGCAGCTGGCCATTTACATCCTTTTAGAAGGTCGTTGAGGCCACTTGGAGGTTTATCTGTGTCCTCAGGGTCACCTGAGTGGTGGAAGTGGGCATAGAGCCTTCTTCAGATCTGCACATCAGTGGTGGGTTCCTCCCGGTTCCGCCGAACCGGTAGTGGTGATGATATTGTTAGGATATGGTTTGAGCCTAACAGTTGTCCAGGTAATATAAGTGTACTGTAACTTTAATCTGTAAATGTATTATGTGACTTTAATGCTGAGTCATGCTGTAATTAGGTAATGACTGGTTGTGAGAGTATTTAAGCAAGTATTGTAACGTATTCAGTTTGATGATGAAGCTGCTATGATATGCTGCCATTGTGTATGGAGCTGATATGATAAGCTACCATTGAGAGGAGTTGATATCTGCTAATCATCATTGGATGGATCTGCAACCATCGTGGTTTGTGAACCAGAGTGAGTTTGTTATTCTAAGCAACTACTGTTTGTTGAGTAAGAAGATTCTGTAACTACTAGACTGATTTAACTGGCAAAGACTTGGAATTTGTTTAAAGACTATGAGACTGTTTTTCTACTATAAAGTAAGCTTTTGATAAACCAGTTTGCATAACTCTTATTCATTGCTCTCAGCAATGTTTCCTTGTGCATTTACTCTGCTGGTTGGTAACACAACAACAATATCCTTAACAGATATGACGTGTTAAAAGGCAGTGTGGTGGTAGACCGGAACCTCCAAAAACAAATGAGTAGACCAGTACAGCTCCGCAAGCAATTAAAAGCCTGGTAGACCAGTACCTCTGCTAAATCCTAAAGAATTGTCACATGACCATCAAGCCACGCCCACAAAATAAGCCACGCCCACAGAACCGGTAGTAAAAAATTTTAGAACCCACCCCTGCTGCACATGTCTCACTGCATTGTACTGTGTACCCCCAAGGAAAAAACACCCAGACACAAACTGAGCAACGTGGTATATGCAGTACAATGCAATGAGATATGTGTAGATCTGTATATTGGGGGAAACAAAACAGCCACTTCACAAACGCATGGCAGAACATAAGAGAAAAACCGATCAGAATTAGATTTGGTTGTCCATCTGCATTTAGAAGACAAAGACCACTCATTTGAAGACAGCAAAGGTCACATTTTGGATAGAGGGGATTGCTGGTTTGATAGAGGGGTCAAAGAGGCCACCTATGTCCAAATTGAACAGCCCCTCCCTCGACAGAAGGGGAGGGATATGACATCATCTATCTCAGTAGTGAAATCCAAAGTTTTTTTACTACCGGTTCTGTGGGCATGGCTTGGTGGGCATGGCATGGGTGTGGCATGGGAAGGATACTGCAAAATCCCCATTCCCACCCCACTCTGGGGCCAGCCAGAGGTGGTATTTGCCGGTTCTCTGAACTGCTCAAGATTTCCGCTACCGGTTCTCCAGAACCTGTCAGAACCTGCTGGATTTCAGCCCTGATCTATCTCCAGTCTACAACACAACTCAACAGTTCCAAGAAAGACTTGAATTCATGGCTGGGACAATGCCTGGGAAAATGTAAGGAAGTGAAAAATTGACCAGAATTGAATTTAGCTCCACATCCTGTCCTTTTTTTCCAGATCTGGGACATCATGGATTACTGCACAGGACCGGAAGTACAAGATTCCAGATTAGATCTGGGTGAGGAATTTCTACCCAAGAGGAACGCCTTCTGTGACTTAATCCCAGATTACTGCAGAATTGCTTCAAGTTTTTCAGACGACAGAGCAATCCAGCAGGTTAGCAGAATAACAGAGGAGTTGGGAGGGACCTTGGAGGTCTTCTAGTCCAACCCCCTGCTCAGGCAGGAAACCCTATACCATTCTAGACAAATGGCTATCCAATTTCTTCTTAAAAACCTCCAGTATTGGAGCATTTACAACTTCATGAGGCAAGTTGTTCCACTGGTTAATTGTTCTCACCGTCAGGAAATTTCTCCTTAGTTCTAGGTTGCTTCTCTCCTTGATTAGTTTCCACCCATTGCTTCTTGTCCTGCCCTTCAGGTATTTCAGACAATAGCTTGACTCCCTCTTCCTTTGGGCCAGCCCCTCAAATATTGGAACCCTGCTATCATGTCACCAGTGGTGGGATTCAGCCCTCTATTTTGCCCAAATATTTTTTTTTGCCTTTGGGCAGTTCCACCACATGTGATAGTAAGAACCCGGTATCTGGTTGCATTTCCAGCATTTGGCAGATGTGTTTTTTGAACACCTTTGCTAGCCTTGAGCGCTGTTGCAACTTCCAATGGCCACTAAGCGAACCGTCGTAAGTTGAGGACGGACCGGTATTGACGACGGTTGCATCGTCTCATATTTTTTTCTCCTTTCGTCCAAGGTTTCCTGGATGGTTCTGCTTTCCCACAATGCCTTCCGGCTTCTCTCTTTCCCCGCAGGAATACGAAGGCTGGGTCACCAACCTGATCCCTCCCGTCTGCCTGAGTTCTTGGCGGGGTCACCTAAAAAATGTGATCAGCCTCCGATACGTGGAAAAGTTCAAAGCTGTCCTCACAGCCAGCCAAGACTGCACCATTAAACTCTGGCTCTTGACCGGAAGACACATGGGTAAGGAAGGCATTTTCATGGGTCTTGGATGGGAAGTGGGGGAGCTAGCTCGGGTGGGCTGGGGGAGGGGTGAGAAAAGGGGTTTCCCCCCTCCCCCCAAGGAGCATTCTCCTAGCTGGTGCATCTTGGCTGGGTTGCTGTTAGTAAGTCCTTGGCTCTACCTATCATTAAATGTGTTATGTATTGCTGTTATGTGTTATGTATTGCTTCCTCCTCCTCCTCCTCCTCCTCCTCCTTTTCTTCTTCTTCTTCTTCTTCTTCTTCTTCTTCTTCTTCTTCTTCTTCTTCTTCTTCTTCTTCTTCTCTTTTCTTCCTTCTTCTTCTTCTTCTTCTTCTTCTTCTTCTTCTTCTTCTTCTTCTCCTCCTCCTCCTCCTCCTCCTCCTCCTCCCCCCTCTCCTCCCCTCCCCCTTCTCCTCCCTATAAATACCAATCCTTCTCACACTGATAATGTTGTCTAGTTGGGACATGAAATGTCAACAAGAAAACAATCACACTCAGAGAGCACCCAAGACCCACAGTGGTCTCCTCCTCCTCCTCCTCCTCCTCCTCCTCCTCCTCCTCTCTGCAAACCCCACTCTCTTCTAGCACTGATGAGGTTCCCTAGTTGGGTCATGGAACATCTGCAAGAAAAGCACCAAGCTCAGAGAGCACCAAGGACTCAACAGTCCTCCTCCTGAATGAAGGCAAATAGACACGTCCCAGGATAATGTTACAGGATCCAATCTGGGTCATTCACAGAGTCTTCCTCCTCTTTCCTTTCCTTTCTGCAAACCTCAGTTCCTTCTAGCACCGATGATGTTCCCTAATTGGGCCATGAAACATCTGCAAGAAAACCACCAAGCTCAAAGAGCACCAAGGACCCTACAGTCCCCCTCCTCCTCCTCCTCTTCCTCCTCTTCCTCCTCCTCTCTGTAAACCCCACTCCCTTCTAGCACTGATGATGCTACCTAGTTGGGTCATGGAACATCTGCAAGAAAAGCACCAAGCTCAGAGAGCACCAAGGACTCCAACAGTCCTCCTCCTGAATGAAGGCAAATAGACACGTCCCAGGATAATGTTACAGGATCCAATCTGGGTCATTCACAGAGTCTTCTCCTCTTCCTCCTCTTTCCTTCTGCAAAACCTCAGTTCCTTCTAGCACCGATGATGTTCCCTAGTTGGGCCATGAAACATCTGCAAGAAAACCACCAAGCTGCCATCTGTCAGGAATGGTGTAAGGTCTCCTGCTTGGGCGAGGTAGGGGGTTTGGGGTTAGACTAGATGACCTACAAGGTCCCTTTTAATCTGTAAGAGTAAAGAAGAGTGGACATGCGATAAAGCAAAAAAATAAAAATAAAAATTGGAGTATGATTCATATTTTAATACAAAATTTTTGAACATGGAGATAAAAATGAAACCAGAACTTTTCCTTTTGGGCTTGATGAAAAAAGAACTGGAGAAAAAAATTTGGCACTTCGTTATTTTATATGTTGACGGCAGCCAAGGCTGTTGCATGCCCCAAAATGGAAGGAGACTTCGATTCCTATCACGGACGAATGGCTGCAGAAGCTGATGGAGTCGGCTGAAATGGCAAAATGGACTCCTTTGATTAAAGAAAAGAATATAAAAGTACTTTTGTTTCCATTTGGTGCTTGAAGTGGAACAGAATGAGAGTTTGATTTTGGGTTTTACCAAGTAGATTGATAGATCTTTACAGAAACGGCTGGTTCATATTATTACGAAAAAGCAAAAAGTTGTGATTTGATGGTAATGCCTTAGTTTACTGCAACAGAGAGAATCGGAAGTCAGTGTTCCTTTTCTTTTTTTCTTTTTTTAATTTGATTTATATGCCGCCCTTCTCTGGAGACTCAGGGCGGCTTACAGTGCGTTAAGCAATAGCCTTCATTCTTTTGTATGTTTTATACAAAGTCAGCTTATTGCCCCCCACAATCCGGGTCCTCATTTTACCTACCTTAGAAAGGATGGAAGGCTGAGTCAACCTTGAGCCTTGGAGAGATTCGAATCCGCAGTAATTGCAGGCAGCTGGTCTTAATAACAGGGTGCTTTAGACCACTGTACTACCATTCTGAATTACAGAATAACAAGAGGTGGAAGGGACCTTGGAGGTCATCTAGTCCAGCCCCCTACTCAAGCAGGAGACCCTTACAGAATTTTTTTTTAAAATTTGATTTATATGCCGCCCTTCTCCGGAGACTCAGGGCGGCTTCCAATGCGTTAAGCAATAGCCTTCATCCTTTTGTATATTTATACAAAGTCAGCTTATTGCCCCCACAAACTGGGTCCTCATTTCACCTACCTTAGAAAGGATGGAAGGCTGAGTCAACCTTGAGCCTGGCAAGATTCGAACCTGCAGTAATTGCAGGCAGCTGGTGTTAATAACAGTGCTTTAGTCTGCTGCGCTACCAGGGCTCCTTTTCTTCTTTCCTTCTCCTCCCCCTCCCCCTCCTCCCGCTCCTTCTGCTTCCTCCTCCTCCTCCTCCTCCTCCTCCTCCTCCTCCTCCTCCTCCTCCTCCTCCTCCTCCTCCTCCTCCTCCTCCTCTTCTTTTTTTAAATTTGATTTATATGCCGCCCTTCTCCGAGACTCAGGGCGGCTTACAATGTGTTAAGCAATAGCCTTCATACTTTTGTATATTTTATACGAAGTCAGCTTAATTGCCCCCACAACTGGGTCCTCAATTTACCTACCTTAGAAAGGATGGAAGGCTGAGTCAACCTTGAGCCTTGGCGAGATTCGAACTTGCAGTAATTGCAGGCAGCTGGAGTTAAATTACAATGCTTTAGTCTGCTGAGCTATCCATGCTCCTTTTCTTCTTTCCTTCTCCTCCCTCACTTCTCTTCCCCCTTTTCCTCCCCACCCTTTTCCAATTTATTTTTTGTATTGTGTATCTTATTTTATTCTATAACCCAATAAAAATATTAAACTCAAAAAAAAAAAAAAGTTTATTTCTGGGTTGACTCTTAGGGACCTTCGGACAGTCGTTATGGAATCTGGGAATATCACACTTAATTCCAGCAGAGGTCCCCGAGGAAATCCGTCATGTGGCATCTCTACACACCCTCAAGGTTCTCAATGAGGGCCGGCAACCTCACTGGGAGTGAGTAAATGGACTACTTGGCCCATAATGCACAAGTATATAATGTAGAAGTATAGAATAGGTGGTACCTTGCTCAATAGTGGTGACTGTGAGAGGGATCTTGGAGTCCTAGTGGACAACCATTTAGATAGGAGCCAGCCGTGTGCAGCAACTGCCAAAAAAGCCAACACAGTTCTGGGCTGCATCAACAGAGGGATGGAATCAAGATCACCTGAAGTGTTAATACCGCTTTATAAGGTCTTGGTGAGGCCACACTTGGAATATGCATTCAGTTTTGGTCGCCAAGATGTAAAAAAGATGTGGAGACTCTAGAAAGAGTGCAGAGAAGAGCAACCAAGAGGATTAGGGGACTGGAGGCTGAAAACATACGAAGAACGGTTGCAGGAACTGAGAATGTCTAGTCTGATGAAAAGAAGGACCAGGGGAGACAGGATAGCAGTCTTCCGATATCTCAGGGGCTGCCTCAAAGAAGAGGGAGTCAAGCTATTCTCCAAAGCACCTGAGGGTAGAACAAGAAGCAATGGGTGGAAACTCATCAAGGAGAGAAGCTACCTAGAACTAAGGAGAAATTTCCTAACAGTGAGGACAATTAATCAGTGGAACAACTTGCCTCCAGAAGTTGTGAATGCTCCAACACTGGAAGTTTTTAAGAAGATGTTGGATAACCATTTGTCTGGAGTGGTGTAGGGTCCCTTGCTTGGGCAGGGGGTTGGACTAGATGATCTCCATGGTACCTTCCAACTCTGTTATTCTGTTATTCAGTGGAACCTCCAGAAGCTGTGGATGTTCCATTGCTGGAGGTTTTAAAGAAGAGATTGGACCACCAAATGACTGGGATGTTATAATGTCTCCTGCCTTGAGCAGAGAGGTTGGATTAGAAGACCTCTGAGGTCCCTTCCGGCCCTAGGATTCAATGTTCTAAATTGTATGGGACCTTCTTGAGGTGCTCATGGCACATATTCATCCCTCCTTCTTGGTCTCCCCCAGGAGCACCCGCAAAATTGTGAAGACCCTGAGCCAGCAGAGGAGACAGCAGTCCATTCTGATGGACTTGGTGAGTCCCAAGTCCTCCCTCAGCATCGAGGCTGTGGAGAAGATGCAGGACCTCATCCAGAAAGAGACGTGGATGACCCGGTATAACGACGAGCAAATCGAGGCTTCCTTTCAGAGATGGGAGGAGTCTGGGAAGGTGAGTTTCTCTCCCTCTCTCTCCCTCTCCCTCCCTCCCTCCCTCCCTCCTCTCTCTCTCTCTCTCTCTCTCTCTCTCTCTCTCTCTCTCTCTCTCTCTTTGTCTAACTATTTTTGTCTGTCTGTCTGTCTGTCTGGTGTGTTCTGTCCCTGTTCCACTCACGCACCCCCACAGACGGCCCGGAATTAATAAGCCACACAACAAAACTCTTTGAAGATAAAGCTGGCAGCAACCCAGTGGCTAGCTGCCAATTCAGACTTTACTCACACAAAACAAAGATTAGACTGCAAGCATTCCGATAAAGCAGGCAAAGTTTCCGCAATACAAGGATTAGTCCAAATGCAGTCCGACAAGGCAGGCAAAGTCCAGTAACGCAGAGATCATGGATTAGTTCTAGTTTTTGCTCGTCACAAACTGAACCGGCCACCACACCCACATTTATACCCTGTGGGGTATGGTCCAGTGACTCAGCTAATCTCTGGCACGCCTTCCCCTCTGCTGCGCACGCTTCTCCCTGCGCCTCTGGCGAGGGTCCAGCCAGCACTTATCTCCTTCGTCGCTGTCCACCTGTGGCTGCGGGGATGTGCTTGGCTCTGAGCCGATCGTTTGGCCTTCGGTGTCCTCCGGAGGCATTGCCAGAGAGGAGGGTCCTGGAGAGGGAGGCCTTGCCAACTCCTCTCCCTCACTCTCAGAGTCTGCATCTGTCGATCGCCCAGGCTCAGGCAACGGAGCCACAACAATCTATCTGTCTCTCTCCTATTCTATTCTATTCTATTCTATTCTATTCTATTCTATTCTATTCTATTCTATTCTATTCTATTCTATTCTATTCTATTCTATTCTATTCTATTCTATTCTCCATTTAATTCCATTCCATTGCGTTCCATTCCATGTTTTTCTCTCTCCTCTCCTCTCCTCTCCTCTCCTCTCCTCTCTCCTCTGTTCTGTTCTGTTCTGTTCTGTTCTGTTCTGTTCTGTTCTGTTCCGTTCCATTCCAGACAAATGGCTGTCCAATCTCTTCTTAAAAGTCTCCAATGATGGAGCACCCACAACTTCTGAAGACAACTTCTGTTTCACAGGTTAATTGTCCTCACTCTTAGAAAAGTTTCTGCTTAGTTCCAAATTGCTTCTCTCCTCGGTTAGTTTCCATCCATTGCTTCTTGTCCTAGCCTCTGATGCTTTGGAGAATAGGTTGACCCCCCTCTTCTTTGGAGGAGCCCCCTCAAATGTTGGAAGTGTGCTATCATGTCATCCCTAGTCCTTCTTTTTTTTTCTAGACTGGCCATACTCAATTCCTGGAACCGTTCTTCATACATTTTAGTCCTCCAGGCTTTTAATCCTCTTAGCTGCTCTTCTCTGCACTTTTTCCAAAGTCTCGACATCTTTTTTGGTAATGTGGTAAGCCATGAGTAACATATCCTGGTTTGTTTGTCCACCTGCAGAAAAGCGACATTCTGGGCCACGCCTACAAGCAGAAGTCCCGTCGGCCTTTGCTGAAGCAGCTTCCGGAGGTGAAGGCCTCGGTGGCCAACAAGGACCAGGTGAGCAGAGAAAAGGGAGCTTTGAATGAAGGTGGAGACTTCGGAACTTCTCTTTGAGGGCCCACAGCTCACATGAGCCAACTTCTGGAGTGGGTGGGGAGTTCACCCATGTTCCTGGTCCCACCATCTGCTGAAGCTTCCAGAGATCATTTCTGCTTCAAGGTTTACAGTTTTCTGTTTTGTTGTCACTGAATGGAAGGATTTTGGAATCCTTGGTGCTCTCTGATCTTGGTTGGGTTTTTTTTTTTTGCAGATGTTTTGTTACCATACTAGGTGACATCATCCGTGCTAGAAGGGAGAGAGGGTTGTGGGGAAGAGGAGGAGGAAGAAGAGGAGGAGGAGGAGAAGGAAGGTGGGAGGAAGAGGAGGAGAGCTGTTGTGTTTTTAGTGCTCTCTGAGCTTGGACCTTTCCTTGAAGATGTTTCATTACCAAACTTGGTACTGTCATCAGTGTCAGTAAGAAATGGGATTGAGGAGGAGGAGGAGGATAACCGTGGAGTTCTTGAAGCTCTCTGAGCTTGGTTTTCTTACAGACATTTCCCCCAAAGGTGCTTTTTATCCAGAGGCAACTGAACTTTCTTGGTTTTTCTTTGAAGACGTTTCACTTCTCATCCAAGAAGCTTCTTCAGTTCTGACTGGATCATGGGGAACGGGAGGATTTATACTCCTTGCAGACAGCTGGTCATTTGCATCCTTTCAGAGAGTCATTGAGGCCACTTGGAGGTTTACCTGTGTCCTCAGGGCCTTCTTGGTCTTGTTGAAAGAACTGTGTTGTAGACCGAAGTTAGCTGGTGTCGTATCCCTCCCCCTCTGTTGCGGGAGGGCTGTTGATCTGTCCCCGTCCACACACACACACAAACACAGCCAGCCGAGGGTTAAGGAAACACTTTGGCACACAGCCAGGTCTTTATCTCCAACTTGGCAGCGATTTACACACCGTCTGCCAAGTGCATTTATTTCCACAAAACAGAAAGATAAGATACTTAGCGTACAAAAGTCCAATCAGAATAATATTCCTCTCAGCAGTTTCCGGACGAGGCTTTAGTGACTATCCAAGGTTTACTTTTGTTCGTCACAAGGATCACTGGCCACCACCCTCTATTATATAGTCTCTAGGGTGTGGTCCAGAGACTCAGTTCTAATCCCTAGCACACCTCCTGAGCTGCTGCAATCGTTTATCACGCCTTCGGAGGCGTGCGTCCAGGAATGATGTCTCTCCCTCGCTCTCATCCGAGCCACCTGTCTCCCGGCTAATCTCCTCTCCCTCGGCCGGCACCTGAGACAGTGCCAGAGGGGAGGGGCCTGGAGAGGGAGGCCTGGCTGACTCCTCTTCCTCATGCCCGGAGCTTTCTTCCTCCGATGGGACAGGCTCAGAGGGCGGGGCCACAACAGCTGTTCAGTTTGGACATAGATGGCCTTATTTGACCCCTCTTCCAAACCAGTGGTCCTCTCTGTCCAAAATGTGGACTTTGCTGTCTTCAAAAGAGGGGCCTTTGTCTTTTTAAATGCAGATGGATGTGTCCTGACCTAAGCTCCCTTAAAAAGCAGGAAGCAGAGGCTTGGCCCTGGCAAAACCACTTTTATTTACACGACTGTGAATTACTTTCATTCACAGTCAGCAAGGCCTGTCCAAACAGTCTTTCAGAGGAATATTTATCAACACAGACCTTATCTCGCTTGGCAGGCTGCCACATAACTCGTTTCCAAATGCAGTACAAGGCAAAACTTGGCACGGAGTCTCTCAGAGTCACGGAACGGACAAATTGTTTCCTGCAAAAGCCCACTCCCTGTCCGCTCCTCTTTTGTTTCTTATGGGAGGGGCCAATCACCTCCAAGGTGTGGCTTTACTCCCGAGTCGGCCCTGCTTTCTGAGTTGTTCTTGTCTTCTGGCAGCTCTGCGCATGCGCACACTGGGGACAGGCTCCAGCTGTTCCTCTGCCTCTCTGTGCCTCCAACGCAGAGCCCTTGTCTAAGCTTTCCCCAGCCCCCAGGACTGGCCCAAGTTCCTCTCCAACTGTTCTGCCCCAGCTATGGACCCCAAAGAACGCAGCACACACAAAGTCCGTTCAAACCTCAGTTTACTGAATAAACCAGTCTTTTACAACAATGGCTGTTAATTAATTGCATTAACAGCCACCAAGAATTCAAAGAATAACAACAGAAAGCTTACTATGGTTGGCAGAATGCCCAGAAGCAATTTGCAGGAAGCTGATAAGATAAGCAAGACAAGACACAAAGGTATGTGAACTAAGTTGTTCCCTGCAAATTGCTTCAGTCGGCGTTCCTCCTTAAATAGGCTAAGGGAGTGGCCAATTAGCCCCAAGCCTTACTCTCGAGGAGACCTCCTTCTGAGGAGCCACTCCTGCCTTTTGGCAGCTCTGCGCGCCCGTGCATCGAGAAGAGGCGCCTCCTCTTCGTCCTCTTCACTTAAGGGAGCTTCTGGAGGTTCTGAAGGCCCTGGCTGAATCCCCGCCTCTGGCACCACATCTTCTCCAGCCTCCTCGCTGTCCGACTCGAGTGCCAGCTGCACAGGCAGCTGGTGCAGCACCACACCAGCCTCCTTGCTGTCCGACTCTGCTGCCAGCTCTGCTGGCTGTCGGTAGGGTACAACAGGATGGCCGAATCTAGTCCTATGTAGTCCTAGTTCTCCTATGTTCTGCCATGCGTTTGTGAAGTGGCTGTTTTGTTTCCCCAATGTACAGATCTGCACATGTCTCACTGCATTGTACTGCATATACCAGGTTGCTCAGTACAGGGCTTTGGACCAAGTGATTTGAAGGACCATCTTTTCCCAGTCTCATCTATTGGACTGTGGACTGTTCAATTTGGAGACGGATGGTGTCTTTGACCCCTCTTTCAAACCAGCAGTCCTCTCTGTCCAAAATGTGGACTTTGCTGTCTTCAAAAGAGGGGCCTTTGTCTTCTAAATGCAGAAGGACAGCTGAATTTAGTCCTGATGGACTGGAAGTATAAATCCTTCCCTTCCCTACCATCCAATCAGAGCTGAAGAAGCTTCTTGGACGAGAAGCGAAACATTGTTAAGGATATTGTTGTGTTAACCAACCAGCAGAGTGTTGAGCACAGGGAAACGGAGCTGAGAGCGATGAATAAAATACATACAAACTGGTTTATCAAAGTTTTTTACTTTGTAGTGAAAAACAATCTCATAGTCTTTAATCAATCCAAGTCTTAGCCATGCAAATCAGTCCAGTGATACAAGAGTCTTCTTACCATACAAAACAGCAGTAGGTAATAAACTGCAGCACATTCACGCTGGTAACAGATCACGATGGTAGCATATCCAACCACGATGATAGCATATCCACACACAATGGTAGCATATCATCACACGATGCTGGTAGATCATCAATGACTACATTTCAGCTCCCTTCTTAAATACAGTTACAACAGAGCTTATCCAATCAGGATACAATGACTCAGCAGTCCTTCTTAAAGTCATAGAATACATATTCATGTTAAAGTCATAGAACATATATTGCCTGGACAACCCGTTAGACAAACACCATATCCTAACAAACATCTTCCAAGAAAAAACAGAAAGTCCATTTGTTGCCTCTTGAAAAAAAAAAAAGCACCTTTGGCTTTAGAGGTTTAAGTTGCAGCAGGAGTGACCACGCGGGTGTAACCACGTTTTCTTTCCTCAGCCGCGGATCTACCACTGTATCCAGTACACGGACCTTCACCCGTTGATCAGTCCTCAAATCCCCGATGTTTTGGCGGAAGCCCAACAGATGCAGGCTTTGGCGGACATCAAAGGTCTCCGGAAGGGAAAACGATGGATGGCCTTGACTGGCGTGATGAAGCCCACTGTGAAGAACATGATGGTACGCAGGAACGCCCTCGTGGCCAAGGAGTGATTCCCCCAACCCAAATGTTCAGGAGCTCAAACTTGCAACTCTTTCCAGGCCCGATCCGGTCCCGTCTCCAAATCCCGGCGGAAGATTTTTTGCAAAAGGGTTTTAAGCGGCCGAAGGTTGAAAATAAAGAGAAGTAGTGAAAGTTCCATGGCTTGGGATGGTCTCTCCGGCCCAAAGGAGGGTGGAGGAGGGTCCTCGCTGGAGAAGGACATTCGGGGCTGATGCATAAGGTACCCCCTTCAGAGCCGGAGATTCAAGAGCAGGTTTTTAGAGGGAGGGGCTTATGATCCATTCCGAAGGGAAAAATGGGCTGATCGATTTTCTTCGTGGTTTCAAAGTTTTTTTTTTATTTTATTTATAACACAACACAATATAACAAACACAAAACACAGAACATAGTATATGTTCCCTTTTTACAACTGTTTCGTAACGGTAATCTTCTAGTATTTACATTTCCCCCCAATTCCCCTTATACTATTCATTTCCTTCTTGTCCCTTTTTCTCTTATTTATGCTATAATTCCTAACAAGCATAATATTAATTTTATACATTTTATACATTGTCCTATAAACATTTTACATTTATAATTTCTCCCCTGTCATTATTGTTGGCTTCAAAATTTTATTAGTTTATCAGAATATAAAATATAGGTAGTCCTCAGAATGACAGAGTTGGAATGGACCTTAGAGGTCCATCCTCCCCTCCCCTCCTCCCTCCCTCCCCTCTCTCTTCTCTTCTCTTCTGTTCTCTTCTGTTCTCTTCTCTTCTCTTCTCTTCTCTTCTCTTCTCTTCTCTTCTCTTCTCTTCTCTTCTCTTCTCTTCCCTTCCCTTCTCTTCTCTACTCTTCTCTATTCTACTTTACACTTCTCTTCTCTGCTCTTCTTTGCTCTTCTCTGCTCTTCTCTTCTCTTCCCTACTCTTCTCTTCTCTTCTCTACTCTACTCTACTCTGCTCTGCTCTGCTCTGCTCTGCTCTGCTCTGCTCTGCTCTACTCTGCTCTTCTCTTTTCTTCTCTACCCTTCTCTTTTCTTTTCTTCTCTGCTCTTCTCTTCTCTTCTCTCCTCTCCTCTCCTCTCCTCTCCTCTCCTCTCCTCTCCTCTCCTCTCCTCTCCTCTCCTCTCCTCTCCTCTCCTCTTCCTTCCCTGATTATGGCTAGATCCTAACAGTCACAGCTTGTAAAGACAGGTTGTCCATTCTCAGGTCTGTTCAAATAATGCCTGGACAGCCATCTATCTGGGCTATTTAAACTCCCACCCAGGGCAAGGGGTTGGAGTGAGTAACTTCAGCAGCCCTTGGGTGGGGAAAAAAGAGTCAGTAAAGCCTGCAAGTGAAGCTTTGGGTGGTTTTTACAAAGGCCAGGCCATTTCTTGGGTGTGGGGCAACCTGGCCTCTATTTGGCTTCCACATGCCAGGATCTACCTGGCTGCCAGGCTGGGTGCCCCTAATGGCATTGACTGACCTGAATTGCGTCCACACCTCGTCAAGATGACGTCTGTCCCGGTCCTGTGCGGCACCGGCTGGCTTTTCATTAGCCACTGTTGTTCCTGACTTTGATCTTCTGGGTGGGCTTGGCAACGGGCGGCAAAGAGTTGGTGATGGATATCAGGGCTTTAGTAAGGCCACACCTGGAATCCTGCATCCAGTTTTGGACACCACATTACAAAAAAGAGGTTGAGACTTTGGAAAAAGTGCAAAGAAGAGCAACTGAGATGATTAGAGGGCTGGAGACAAAAAAAATGTGAAGAACGGTTGCAGGAATTGGGTATGTCTAGTCTGATGAAAAGAAGGATTAGAGGTGACATGACAGCAGTCTTCTAATATTTGAGGGGCTGCCACAAAGAAGTTGTGATTGTGGTTGATTTGTGTTGTGGTTGATTTATTTTCCAAAGCACCAGAAGGCAGGACAAGAAACAACAGATGGAAACTAACCAAGGAGAGAAACAACTGGGAATCAAGGAGAAACTTCCTGACAGCGAGAACAATTAACCAGTGGAACTGCTTGCCACCAGAAGTTGTGGGTGTTTTATCACTGGAAGTTTTAAAGAAATAGTTGGGACAGCCATTTGTCTGAAATGGTATATAGCAGGGGTCACCAACCTTTCGGACCTCAGGGACCACTAAATTCATAATTTTAAATCCCGCGGACTACTAATGTGATCTGCCTAATGATGTGCTGGGTGGGCGTGGCCAGGTGGTCATGTGACTGGGTGGGCGTGGCCAACTCGATGTCACTCACATCAAGGGATACCTCCCAGCCCCTCCTCACCTGCCCGCCTGGTTGAGGAAGCCCATCAAGTGGAAATGCTATCCAGAAAAATAGGTCAGAAATCTAACTTCACCCTATTTCTATGGAGATTTTCCGTCATCATGGTTTTCCTCTGAAGATGTTTCGCTTCTCATCCAAGAAGCTTCTTCAGCTCTGACTGGATGGAGGGGAATGGAAGGATTTATACTCCTTGCAGACAACAGCTGTATAAATCCTTCCATTCCCCAGCATCCAGTCAGAGCTGAAGAAGCTTCTTGGATGAGAAGTGAAATGTCTTCAGCCCTGATGCCTCTTGAAATCGCACCTTTAAGATTAACTTCACTATGCTTGTCCTCCAGTGGGGTCAATTCTCAACTTCCCAAATGATGGACCTGCCCTTTCCTGGTGGTCTCCCATCCAAATGCTTTTTTTAGTTTCTAGCAAGTCTATATGGGTGAACCCATGAAGTCAAGAGGATTTAAGTTTGACCGGAAAGGGACTTCACCCGAAAAAAAGATTGGGAACAAGAGATCCCTCACCCCATCACCAGGTCGAAGTGGAAGCTATGACCACTTCTGGATTACTCTCCACCCAGGTCCTGCAAGAAGGGTGGAAAAAATGGGAGAAGAAGCCCATTCAGGACAACCTTCTTGTGAAAATGATCATCTGCCCAACATCTGCTCTTTTCTAAGAGAAAATGGGTTGCCGGTCTCCAAAGCTGGCTTCATCTTGGCTTAGACCCAAAATGAAAAGCAGAAAAGAAAGGAGAGGTCCCATCTTACTCCACAGGTGTTGAGAGATGTTACTCAACCTCAACCTGTTCCCCAAAGCACCTGAAAGCAAAATAAGAAGCAACGGATGGAAACTAATCAAGGAGAGAAGCAACCTGGAACTGAGGAGGAATTTCCTGACAGAACAATAAACCTGTGGAACTGCTTGCCTCCAGAAGTTGTGGGTGATCCATCCCTGGAGGTTTTCAAGCCAATTGGACGGCCATTTGTCCAGAACGGTACAGGATCTCCTGCTTGAGCAGGGGGTCAGACTAGAAGACCTCCAAGGCCCCTTCCCACTCTGTTATTCCACTCTGATCTTCTCTGCAGTAAGGCTCTGTCATCCCCACATGAGAGAGGGCTTCTCTTAGGCACACCTTCTGCATTGTTGGCTCTGTTCTCCGGCTCCTTTGTGTTATATAAGGTCACTTCGTTCCCGGCTGGGTGAGATCTGGGGAAGGCAGCCGCCGACGGTCAGATCAAGATCAAACAGATCTGCAAGAGGTAAGGTGCAAGGAAGGGGTGGAGAGGTGACCTCTGGACGTAAAACACCCCAATCGACACTTTCGAACCCCAAGGTTGAACCAATAGATAGATAATAGAATTCTTTATTGGCCAAATGTGATTGGACATACAAGGAATTCATCTTTGGTACCTACGCTCTCAGTGTACATAAAAGAAAAGATACGTTCGTCAAGAATCATAAGGTACAACACTTAATGATAGTCATAGGGTACAAATTAAAAAACAGTCTATATAAATCATAAGGATACAAGCAACGAAATTACAGTCATAAGTGGGAGGAGATGGGTGGTGGGAACGATGAGAAGATTAATAGTAATGCAGGCTTAGTGAATAGTTTGACAGTGTTGAGGGAATTAGTTGTTCAGCAGAGTTATGGGATGTGGGGGAAAAACTGTCCTTGTGTCTAGTTGTTCTGGTGTGCAGTGCTCTATAGCGTCGTTTTGAGGGTAGGAGTTGAAACAGTTTATGTCCAGGATGCGAGGGGTCTGTAGATATTTTCCCAGCTCTCTTTTTGACTCGTGCAGTATCCAGGTCCTCCATGGAAGGCAGGTTGGTAGCCATGGTTTTTTCTGCAGTTCTAATGATCCTCTGAAGTCTATGTCTGTCTTGTTGGGTTGCATAGTCAAACCAGACAGTTATGGAGGTGCAGATGAAGACTCAATAATTCCTCTGTAGAACTGTTATCAGCAGCTCCTTGGGCAGTTTGAGCTTTCTGAGTTGGCGCAGAAAGAACATTCTTTGTTGTGCTTTTCTGATGAGGTTTTTGATGTTAGGTGTCCATTTTAGATCTTGTGATATGGTAGAACCTAGAAATTTGAAGGTCTCCACTGTTGATACGGTGTTGTCTAGTATTGTAAGAGGTGGAAGTATGGGAGGGTTTCTCCTAATGTCCACCACCATTTCTATGGTTTTGAGTGTGTTCAGTTCCAGATTGTTCTGGTTGCACCACGAGGCTAGTTGTTCAACCTCCCATCTGAGCTGAAGGTCCTGCCTGCCCCACATGATGTGGACGATGGCTCCCTCTTGACTTGGAAGGGGTGATGCCGCCCACCCCTTCCCTATTTCTCATCACTTGAGACTTTCAAGAAGAGACTGGACTGCCATTTATCAGAAATGGTGTAGGGTCTCCTGCTTGGGCTGGGGGTTGGACTACATGACCTACAAGGTCCCTTCCAACTCTGTTAATTTGTTAATCATTTCTTTCAGAGGCTTCCTCTTCTAATCTGTGTGTGTGTGGGGAGGTGGGTCTGCAGGATATTTATTTATTGATACAGGTAATCCTCAATTTACAACAGTTGGTTTAGTGACCCACTAACAACAGCTCATTTAGTGACCGTTTGAAGTTACAACACCCCTGGAAAAAGTGACTTTTGACTGTTTTTCACCCTTACAACTGTTGCCGCGACCCCGTGGTCGTGTGATCAAAATTCGGACACTTGGTAACGGACTCATATTTATGATGGTCGCAATGTCCTGGGGTCACGTGATTCCCTTTTGTGACCGTCTGACCAGCCAAGTCAATGGGGGTCAAATTCACATAACAACTGTGCTACCACTTTAGCGATTCATTTAACAGCGATGGCAAGAAAAGTCATAAAATGGGACAAAACTCACCAAACCAATGTATCGCTTAGTAACAGAAATGTTGGGCTGGATTGTGGTCGTAAGCCGAGGACTAGCTCTATCCCACCTTTATTAGAGTCAACGGGAGTGAGAGGGGCAGCGCATAAATTTAATAAATAATTTTTACAAACAACTCCAAGCAGTAAACGTATCCTACTCCTATTTTACCTACAACACCCACCCTGTGAGTATGGCCGAAAGGAATCAAAATCATGACTGCGACAGGTTAATCAAACTTCCATCTGTCCCTCATCAAAAACAGGCAGTTTTAGACAGAAACTCCAAATATAGAATGAATGCTCTGTTTGTGTAATTTTATCTTGTATTGCACACAGCTTACAAAGGAGCTTTTTTAAAGGAGGAAAGTCTTTGTCCAGTTAAGTTGACCCAGTATCTTAGCAATGAAGAATATAAGATAAGATTTCTAGACACCGGGCACTTGCTATCACATATGGTGGACGTGTGTGAAAGCAAAGAATTACTGGATAAAAATACATACTGTATTTTTCAGAGTATAAGATGCACCTTAGTTTTTGGGGAGGAAAATAAGAAAAAAGCTGATTGGCGGGTGGATCGGAATACCCCCAAACAGCTGTTTCCAGAGGTGAATTTTAGCAACAGGTTCCTTGGTTGTGAGCTCTGTGCCTTGCTTTTTCCCCCTTTTTTTCTGCCTCTGAATCTTCTGAAGCTCTGTTTCTGAGGCTTTTTTTTCTGAAGCTTTTTTTCTGAGGCTTTTTTCAGCCTCTGAAACCTCTGTTTGAGAGGCTGGGTGGGGCTACATTCGGAGTGTAAGACACACCCAGATTTTCACTCTCTTTTTTGGGGAAAAAGGTCTGTCTTATACTCCAAAAAATACAGTACATGGTTAGAAAAAATGTTAAAGATGCATATAGATTATACGCCAGGAATATTTTTGTTAGGTATAATACCAGAAAAATATAATAAGGGGAATTTGTGTTTAATATTGCATGTTTTGACGGCAACAAGAATTGTATTTGCACAGTATTGGGAAAATGAAGAAACACAGAGAAGGAGATGTAATTAAAAAAAAAATTAGATTGCTCAGATAGACCGCCATTAAAGATAAAAGAAAAGGAAGATGCAGAGTATTTTCAAATATGGGATTTGTTTTATATATGGTTAGATAATAGAGGCAGAAATTAGGAGCTGGGAAAACATTATTACGTAAGGAAATTGACCCAGACAATACACTGTTCACAAAACAGAATAGAATGAATGAGCTTGAAGGGACCTTGGAGGTCTTCTAGTCCAGCCCCCTGCTTAAGCAGAAGAACCATTTATGTATGTTAAATGAAAATGCACAACTAAACTATTAAGTCTAAAAAAAAAAGGAGATAAGATTTCGAGCTGCATTGCCTCTCCATCTGAAAGTCTAGAGAGAAGACCAGATACGTTCTAAGAATTAAAGAGAGTAGAGATCAGAATGAACCAAGAAAGATTACAGTAGAAAAGGAAGGTTTGGAAGAAAATTGTGCTGGACTTCCATAGCAGATGACACCTTGACTTCTTTTGGCCATGCAGTGCTGTGTACCCGATGGCCTGAAGGTCTCTTCTTTTGCACCCACCTTCCTTTTGGACCTCCGTCCTTGGAGGCCACCTGAAATAATCCAGGTCTTTCTTCTGTCTCCAGGTTCCTTCAGCATGGCCATTCTTCTCCTTCTGAGTGTCCTGGTTACCTGTGTCTCCTTTCATGGGACGTCGGCCAACACTGGAGTTATCATCTCCGGAGGCGCATTGGATAATTGTAAGGGGGCTCAGATACAAGGTTGACTTCTGCTCCTTTATTGATGGATTTTGGCTTTGTCTCAGTGAGGTGTTCCTTTCTCTCCTCAACGATCTCCACAGTGGACCTAATAGGATGACGGAGTTGGAAGGGGCCTTGGAGGTCTTCTAGTCCAGTGGTCACCATCTGGTGGTCTGCGAGAAAATTTTGGTGGTCCACAGAAAAATTACTTGCATTTTTTATATTGCACTAGATCAGGGGTCTTTAAACTATGGCCCCTGGTCTGGATACGTGCAATGAACGTTTGTGTTGCTGCAGAGAGTCTCCCCCTTCGGGGTCTTTTTGTGCAGCTCGGAGGGGGGCAGAAATTCCAACTTGGGGTCTGCTTCTGCCTCCTGGTGGGGGGCTTTGGGCGAAGGCTGGAGGGAATCACCGCTGGTGGCAAAGAGCCGGAGGGCCTCGTTCCAGTGGGACTGCCTCATGGCCTGGAACTGGCTGACCATCTCAGCCCAATGAGCCTCCAGGCGCCGGTACCTGGCCTTGCACTCCCACAGGTCTTCCCTCTGCTTGGAAAGCCTATGCTCCTAGTCCTCAGTGAGGTGCTTCTACTGAGCCTCCTTTTTGGTCAGATCCAATTTGAACTGAGCTGTTTTGCCAACTCTTTCTCGAGGTGGCTGCTTACCTTCAACAACTGCTTCCTGCTGGGGCCCTAAGGAGCCTGGGTGGGGAGGCAAGGATTGGCTGGGAGGGGAGGGGTGAGTAGAGGCTGGCGAGGCACCCCTCGACGTGAGTGACATCGAGATGGCCACCCTCACCCAGTCACATGACCACCTAGCCACGCCCACCCAGTCGGTCACTGGCAGATCATATTAGTGACCCTTGGGATTTAAAATTATGAATTTACTGGTCCCTGAGGTCTGAAAGGTTGGTGACCCCTCTTCTAGTCCAAGCCTTGCTCCAACAGGAAAGCCATTTCAGACAAATGGTTATCCTATCTCTTCTTAAACACCTCCAGTGATGGAGCACCCACAATTTCCAGAGGCAAGCAGTTCCACTGGTTAATTGTTCTCACTGTCAGGAAGTTCCTCCTTAGTTCCAGGTTGCTTCTATCCTTGATTAGTTTCCATCCGTTGCTTCTTCTCCTGCCTTCGGGTGCTTTGGAGAATAGATGGATCCCCTCTTCTCTGTAGCAGCCTCTCGAATATTGAAAGATGGCTATCCTTCTCTTTTCTTAGACTAGACTTTGGGCAAGCGTAATGTGCCACTTTGAGCACTTTATGCGTGCCCAAAGTGGCACATGAAGCCATGCCACCTGGCATATGCAGCATCACCTGTTCCTCTCCCGGGTTTCTGGCGAGCATGTGCATGAGACAATTTGGCCTTTGTGCATGCGGCAGTGCCGGAAACCGGAAGAGTTTGTCTTCCGTATTCCTGCATGAGCATGGACGCCGGTAAGCTGATCGGCGTGTGCGCATGTGCGGCAGTAAGCGGAAAACTTGCTGGTCGGCAGGCGCCCACCAGAAACTGGAAGTACCTTAACTGGCACGTGCATGGCAGCTCCTCTTCCTGGTTGCAGCCCTGATGAGTGCGTGCACATGCGCGAAGTGCTCCCTTTTTGGTACTTGGTGCCGAAAAGGCTCACCATCACTGGACTAGACATACCCAATTCCTGCAACTTTTCCTCATATGTTTTAGCCTCCAGTCCCCTAATCCTCTTGGTTGCTCTTCTCTGCACTCTTTCTAGAGTCTCCACATCTTTTTTTATATCGTGGCGACCAAAACTGGATGCAATATTCCAAGTGTGGCCTCACCAAGGCCTTATAAAGTGGTATTAATACTTCACATGATCTTGATTCTATCTCTCTGTTTATGCAGCCTAGAACTGTGTTGGCTTTTTTGGCAGCTGCTGCACACGGCTGGCTCCTATCTAAATGGTTGTCCACTAGGACTCCAAGATCCCTCTCACAGTTACTACTATTGAGCCAGTTCTTACTGACTTCTGGTTCAGAATAGAATAAATATAAAATAACAGAGTTGGAAGGGACCTTGGAGGTCTCCTAGTCCAACTAGTTGCTGAAATCTCTTCCCTCTTTTTAATATGTAAATTTTAATCTGTTTTTAAATTATTGGAATGTTTTAATCTGTCTGGGCCAAAATGATTTAATTTGATTTTTTCTGGTTTTTAAATTTTTTGTATCTATGTATTTTATTGTTTGGCTGTTCACCGCCCTGAGTCCTTCGGGAGTAGGGCGGTATACAAATCAAATAAATAAATAAATAAAATAAATAAGCAGGAGGCCCTATCCCATTCCAGACAAATGGCTTTCCGGTCTTCTTCTTGAAAACCTCCCATGATGGAGCATTCACAACTTCTGGAGGCAAGTCGTTCCACTGTCTCACTGTTAGGTAGGTTCTCCTTAATTCTAGATTGCTTCTCTCCTTAATTAATTTCCATCAAATCATTCTCCATCGAATCCATTTCCATCAGTTGAGTTATTGGAAGCTAGTTGTGATGTGAGGGAGTCAAGCTACTCTCCAAAGCCCCTGAGGGCAGGACAAGAAGCAACGGATGGAAACTAATCAAGGAGAGATCCAACTTAGAAGTAAGGAGAAATTTCCTGACAGTGAGAACAATTAACCAGTGGAACAACTTGCCTCCAGAAGTTGTGAATGCTTTTAAAATGTTTTTAAGAAGAGATTGGACAGCCATTGGTCTGAAGTGACATAGGGTTTCCTGTCTGGGCAGGGGGTTGGACTAGAAGACCTCCAAGGTCCCTTCCAACACTGTTATTGTATTCTATTCATCTTCAGCATTGCACCCAACTCATGCTCGTGGTTGAAGTTCTTCTTTTTCTAATGCTGAAGGTCAAAGAAGGTCAAAGAAGGGGTCAGCTGTTCTCTCTCAACTCCACTTTTGATGAAGTTGGCTAAGATGAAGTTGCTGATTGTGCTCTGGCTTTCTTCTCCTTTTCAGTTTACCAGTCTTCCAGAGAACCTTTGCAATCAGAACTGGAAGTTTACCTGAAGGCTTTGGCTCCCTTTATCGTGTCTGGACACTTCCTTGAGTGAGTACCACCGTGCCCACCCCCGCTCTCAACTAAAAAGGGGAAGACCAAAGGTCAAAGGGCATTTCCCCGTGGGGCAAATTTTGAAGTGGGCAGGATTGAATGGACATAAAAGTTATAACTTGCGTAAGCTTTATATAGTGTGAAACTAATTTGATTTCAGGGCGGATAAAAATCAATGACTTTTTTAAAAAAATCAAAAAAATCAGATTTTTTTGATTTAAATCGGATTTTTAAAAAAAATTTCTTTCTTTTTTTTTTCTTTTAATTTGATTTATATGCCGCCCTTCTCCGGAGACTCAGGGCGGCTTACAATGTGCTAAGCAATAGCCTTCATCCTTTTGTATATTTATACAAAGTCAGCTTATTGCCCCCACAAACTGGGTCCTCATTTTACCTACCTTAGAAAGGATGGAAGGCTGAGTCAACCTTGAGCCTTGGAGAGATTCGAACCAGCAGAAATTGCAGGCAGCTGTGTTAATGACGGTGCACTAAACCACTGTACTATCAAGGCTCTTATTTTTATCGAATTTATTTTAATAAAAAACTTTTGGGGTAAAAATCTATTGTAAGATAGTTTTCTATTTAAGATACATAAATGATTTAGTTTATTCAGCATGAAATGGAGCTTAGTTACGTAGCAGGAGGCTGTATATTCTGCAACACTGGGACTATCGGTGAGTCAACAGTGGGTCAAAGGAGTAGCAGAGATGACACTTGCTCTTTAAAAATTGTGATTTAAATCGAGTTGATTTAAATCAAGCCTTTTTTACTAGTGATTTAAATCATGATTTAAATTGTGATTTAAATCAACTCGATTTAAATCAAATCCACCCTGTTTGATTTTATTGATCAAGTTTATATGCTGCCCCTCTCTCACTATCTTTTGGAGCGGCTTTTCGTGACGTAACCAGAAGTTGAAAACGACAATTTAAATCTTTTATTTATTATATTTGTTATTGTAATTTCATTTTCAGACATTTCATGACCCAACTAGGTAACGTCATCAGTGCTGGGAAGGAATGACGTTTGCTCTCTTTATAGACAAGTAGCTTATCCTAATGGTATTGGTGGGCGAGGTCTTGATAGTTCCTTGATGAGGCTGTTGTTTACTGTTTGACTGTGTGTCTAAATTGGTAGTTCCTTGATTGCGGTATTATTTACTAGCATCAATTAAGGATTGTTGGTCTGGAGCAGTGTTTCTCAACCTTAGTAGTTTGAAGATGGGTGGACTTCAACTCCGGGGGATTCTGGGAGTTGAAATCCACCCATCTTCAAGCTTCCAAGGTTGAGAAACACTGTTCTAGGGCTAATCTTGGTGTTAATCTCCGGCATGGAGGTTGCTCTGATCTTTTTGTTTCCCTTTTGATTGTTTCTTTTGAATGGTATGTCACTATTGTTTATCTCCGTGTGCCTGTTGATGGCTGGTTTGTCCGAATGGCAGGCTTCCAGGAATTCTCTAGCGTTTTTGTACTTGGTTTAGGTTACTCACCGTTGGAACTGTGATGTAGTCTCTCCGTGTGTTGTGCAATTAAGGATTTTTCAGCATGTCTTTTGACTGCTATCACTCATCACTCTCACCAGAGGTGGGATTCAGCCGGTTCAGACCAGTTTTGAACGAACCGGTAATGGCGACCTGCGGTCGGGCTTGTCCACCCGCCCGGGCGCAATCCAGTCCTATATTGCTGTGTTTTTGACGCTGCATGCATGTGCGGATGGCGCGTGTGAGCGAATTGCCGTGTTTTGTAACGCCGCACACATGCCCGGATGGCGTACGTGCACATTTCCAGTGTTGGGCGAACTGGTAGCTACAGTATGCGAAGCCCCAATGCTGACTCTCACCAATGTTGACAGGGCTAACTACCATATTGAAACAGAGAGCAAACCCCACTCCCTTCTAGCACTGATGATGTTACCTAGTTGGGTCATGAAATGTCTACAAGAAGACAACCTGCCGGTTGTCCTGCCGGCCGCTTTGAAAGAAGCGGTTGTGAGGCCCCTCCTCAAGAAGCCCTCTCTGGATCCGGCTGTTTTGGCTAACTATCGTCCAGTCTCCAACCTTCGCTTTGTTGCGAAGGTTGTTGAGAGTGTGGTGGCGCAACAGCTTCCCCGGTACCTGGATGAAGCTGTCTATCTAGACCCGCTCCAGTCCGGCTTCCGGCCTGGGTACAGCACGGAAACGGCATTGGTCGCGTTGGTGGATGATCTCTGGAGGGCTCGGGATAGGGGTTGCTCCTCTGTCCTGGTCCTGTTAGACCTCTCAGCGGCTTTTGATACCATCGACCATGGTATCATGTTGCACCGGTTGGCGGGGTTGGGGGTGGGGGGCACCGTTCTGCGGTGGTTCTCCTCCTACCTCTCTGACCGGTCGCAATCTGTGTTGACGGGGGGGCAGCGGTCGACCCCGAGGCACCTTGCTTGTGGGGTGCCACAAGGGTCGGTCCTCTCGCCCCTTCTGTTCAACATTTATGTAAAGCCGCTGGGTGAGATCATCCGTGGCTTTGGGGTGGAGTTCCATCAGTACGCTGATGACACCCAGCTGTACATCTCCACCCCAGGCCACCCCAACGATGCCCTTGAAGTGATGTCCCAGTGTCTGGAGGCCGTGCGGGCCTGGATGGGGAGAAACAGGCTCCGACTCAACCCCTCCAAGACCGAGTGGCTGTGGCTTCCAGCGTCCCGATATAGCCAGCTGACGCCATCGCTGGCTATTGGGGGCGAATCACTCGCCCCCACGGAGAGGGCTCGCAACTTGGGCGTCCTCCTGGACGCACGGCTGTCTTTAGAAGATCATTTGACGGCCGTGGCCAGGGGGGCTTTTTATCAGGTTCGCCTGATACGCCAGCTGCGCCCCTTTCTAGATCGGGACTCTCTACGCACAGTCACTCAGGCACTAGTCATTTCCCGCCTGGACTACTGCAACGCTCTCTACATGGGGCTCCCCCTGGGGTGCACCCGGAGGCTCCAGCTGGTCCAGAACGCGGCCGCGCGGGGGATTATGGGGGCGACGAGGCGCTCCCATGTGACACCTCTCCTGCGCGAGCTGCACTGGCTCCCAGTGGTCTTCCGGGTGCGCTTCAAGGTGTTGGTGACCACCTTTAAAGCGCTCCATGGCTTAGGGCCGGGGTATTTACGAGACCACCTTCTGCCACCAATAGCCTCCCACCGGCCAGTACGCTCGCACAGAGTGGGCCTCCTCAGGGTGCCGTCCGCCAGACAATGTCGGCTGGCGACCCCCAGGGGGAGAGCCTTCTCTGTGACGGCGCCCACCCTCTGGAACAACCTTCCCCCAGAGTTACGTATAATAACAGACCTCCGGATTTTTCGTCGGGCCCTGAAAACCTATTTATTTCAACAAGCTGGGCTGGCCTGAGTTAAATTTTAAATTGATTTTAAATTGGGTTATCTTAATTTCGGCCAAAATATTTAATTATTTTAATACTGTTCTTAAATTTTGTATGCTTTGTTTTTATCTTGGCTGTGCACCGCCCTGAGTCCTATTGGAGAAGGGCGGTATAGAAATTTAATAAATAAATAAATAAATAAATAAATAGGGGAAGGAGGAGGAAGGAAGGGGGAGGAGGAAGAGGAGGGGGAGGAGTAGAGAGAGGAGGAGGAGGAGGAGTTGAATTAAATAACTCATCCTCCTCCTCCCCTCCTCCTCCTCTTCCTCTTCCTCCTCCTCCCCTTCCCTCCTCCCCCTTCCCCACTCCACAAACCCCTCTCCCTTCTAGCATTGATGATGTTACCCAGTTGGGTCATGAAATGTTTGCAAGAAAACAACCAATCTCAGTGAGCACCAAGTGCTAGAAGGGAGAAGGGTTTATGGAGTGGGGAAGGGGGGGAGAAGGAACGGGGAGGAGGAGGAAGAGTTGAATTAAATAACTCATCATCCTCCTCCCCTCCTCCTCCTCCTCTCCTCCTCCTCCTCCTCCTCCTCCCCCCTCCCCCTCCTCCTCCCCTCCTCTTCCTCCTCCCCTCCTCCTCCTCCTCCTCCTCCTCCCCTCCTCCTCCTCCTCCTCCTCCCCCCCTTCCCTCGTCCTCCTTCCCCACTGCACAAACCCCTCTCCCTTCTAGCACTGATGTTGTGATCTAGTTGGGTCATGAAACATCTGCAAGAAAACAACCAACTTCAGAGACCACCAAGGACCCCCCCCCATCATCCCATTCCGAACCACAAAACATTCTCTTTTATCGGTGCTTTGGGTCAGACATGCCTTCTTCAAAGCTCCCCTTTGTTCCCCAGAACTAAGCTGGGGATCCCCAGTGCTGCGTTGGCAGTCAGCCGATGGGGATGAGGAAGGAAAGGGAAAGGAGGGAGGGAGGGAGGATGCTGAAAAAGGTTTGATTTTGAACTCCCATCTTCCACTTCTGCAGGGTCACCATCACCGCTGTGGTCGTAACCAAAATAGAACTGAGCTTGGTACCTGGCTTGGGCCTGAATGTTTTAGTTTGTGCATCGATTCATCTCCGTTGTGTGACGTGCGTATCCTTACCAGCGTTTGTGGTGTGGGTCCTGCACAGCCTGGGTTTGGGACCAACGTGGACCCCTGTGCAACATTGACCTGCAAGCTGGGGGGAGGAGTGTCTGCTGGGTGTGGACAGCAACATTGTGGTGGCCATCCGTGTGTGGTTGAACTTCCATCTAACAGACTAACAGCGTTGGAAGGGACCTTGGAGATCCTCTAGTCCAACCCCCTGCTTAAACAGGAGACCCTACGCCATTCCAGACAAATGTCTTCTTAAAAACCTCCAGTGATGAAGCACTCTGGAGGAAATCCATTCCACTCATGAATTGTAACAGACTAACAGAGTTGGAAGGAGCTGTTCTGCCCCAGCTACGGACCCCAAAGAACGCAGCACACACAAAGTCCGTTCAAACCTTAGTTTACTGAATAAACCAGTCTTTTACAACAACGGCTGTTAATTAATTGTATTAACAGCCATCAAGAATTCAAAGAATAATAACTGAAAGCTTACTGTGGTTGGCAGAATGCCCAGAAGCAATTTGCAGGAAGCTGATAAGATAACAAGACAAGACACGAAGGAGAGTGAATGAAGTTATTCCCTGCAAATTGCTTCAGTCAGCGTTCCTCCTTAAATAGGTGAAGGGAGTGGCCAATTAGCCCCAAGCCTTACTCTCGAGGAGACCTCCTCCTGAGGAGCCACTCCTGCCTTTTGGCAGCTCTGTGCGCCTGTGCATCGAGAAGAGGCTCCTCCTCTTCATCCTCTTCACTTATGGGAGCTTCTGGAGGTTCTGAAGGCCCTGGCTGAATCCCCACCTCTGGCACCACATCTTCTCCAGCCTCCTCACTGTCCGACTCGAGTGCCAGCTGCACAGGCTGCTGGCGCAGCACCACACCAGCCTCCTCACTGTCGGAATCAGCTACTAGCTGCACAGGCCGCGTATGGGCCACAACAGGGACCTTGGAGGTCTTGTAGTCCAACCCCCTGCTCACGCAGGAGACCCTATGCCATTCCAGACAAATAAAATGGGGCAAAGCTCACTTAATAAGTGTCTCACTTAGCAAGAGAAAGTTTGGGCTCAACAGGGGTCGTGAGTCAAGGAATACCTGTACAAGTAACCCTCGACGTACGACCATTCTTTTACCAGCTGTTATGATAGTGCTGAAAATAGTTCGGTCCTTGCACTTATGGCAGGTCCTCACACTTACAACCATGGCCTGATATCAACTCCACGGGCACACGATCATATTCCAGTTGCTTAGCAACCAGTTTGCATTTACGGCTGGCTGCAGAATCCTGCAGTGCCATTATCTCAATTTGCAAACATTTTACCCATTTCTGGCAAAACCCAAGAACGGCTTCACACTTATGACCTTCAGCATTTGCTTAACAAGAATAGGTTGGCTCAGCGACCGCAGCAGGTTTGCTTAACAACCATCGTCAAACACGTGGTCGTAACATTGGGTGCAATTCGCGTTAGGACCACAATGGACTCCCAGCAGAAATTTTTCAATTTCTCTCAATTGTGGTCATAAGACACAGTCATAAAATCCGGCCCCGCTTGAGTTACAACTGCAGTGTCTTACGACATCAATTCCTGTTCCGGTTCTGGTCGTAAGACGAGGACTGCCCGTAATCCATTTTATTCCTTCGTGCCTTTTGAATAAAATGTTAGCGAACTCCCGTTTGCTAAGTTAAATAGGAGCCAAGAGTGTGTGGCGGCAGCCAAAAAAGCCAGCGCAATTCTAAACTGCATCAACAGAGGGATGCAATCAAGATCAGGTGGGGTACTACTACCACTCTACAAAGCCTTAGTAAGACCACACCTAGAGTATTGCATCCAGTTTTGGTCACCACACTATAAAAAAGATGTGGAGAGTCTAGAAAAAGTGCAGAGAAGAGCAACCAGGATGATGAGGGGACTGGAGGTTAAAACATACGATGAACGGTTGCAGGAACTGGGCATGGCTAGTCTAGGGAAGAGAAGGACCAGGGGAGACAGGAGAGCATCTTCCAATATCTGAGGGGCTGCCCCAGAGAGGAGGAAGGGGGTCAAGCTATTTTCCAAAGTCAGAAGGCATAATGGATGGAAACTGACCAAGGAGAGATTCAACCTAGAAATAAGGAGGAATTTCTTAACATTGACAGCAATCAACTGATGGAACAGAAGTTGCCTTCAGAAGTTGTGGGAGCTTCATCCCTGGAGGCTTTCAAGAAGAGACTGGACTGCCATCGGTCAGAAATGGTGTAGGGTCTCCTGCTTGGGCACGGGGTTGGACTAGATGACCTACAAGGTCCCTTCCAACTCTGTGAATCTGTATAAATCTGTATAAAGTTCGTGGCGGTTCAAAACTGCAACCTTGGATCAAAGTGGGTGGGTGGGTTAACTCTGGCTCCTGTACTCCTGTTTGTTTGTTTGTTTATTTAATTTATGTATTGTCTCTTCTCTCCCCCCTGAACGCAGGCTGGCCTCGGTGAGCGTGACTGTGATCGCCAACGTCTGTGTCACTCTCCGGCTGAGAGTCACCTCTCTGGAGCTGGTCGTTGATGACTGCAGTGCTGTTTTTGGAGAAATGCGACTTGATCTCTTGAGGTGGAGGCCGTGTTTTCTTGTTCCCTGGGTGGTAGAGGAGGGCCCGGTCATCTGGGGTCATCTCTCTCTCTCTCTCTCTTTCTCTCTCTCTCTGTGCGATGCCTCTGTACCTGCTATTGGCACAGTATGGCACGGAGTCCTAGAGAGAGTCCTGCAAACGGCTGAAGGTTGGGAAGGATGCCTGAACTGTCCTGGTGGACCATCACTGGACCCCCCCCCCTGAATGCGAAAGGAGGGATGGACCACACTTAGAATCCAGCATCCAGTTTTGGTCCCCACACTATAAAAAAGATGTTGAGACTCTAGGAAAAGTGCAGAGAAGAGCAACAAAGAGGATGAGGGGACTGGAGGTTAACACATACGAAGAACGGTTGCAAGAACTGGCATGGCTAGTAGTGAAGAGAAGGTGTTTTGGAGAATAGGTTGACACCCCCCCCCACTCTTCTCTGGGGCAGCCCCTCAAATATTGGAACACTGCTCTCATGTCACCCTTAGCCTTTCTTTTTGTTAATCTAGATATACCCAATTCCTGTAACTACTCATTGTAGAATTTAAACCTCCAGACCCATTCCTTATCTTTGTAGAAGAAGCCTGGTGTTTTATGGAGGGTACAGAATAACCGAGTTGGAGGAAGGGATCTTCGAATCCAACCCAGTGCTCAAGCAGGAGAACCCAGACCCATGATGGCGAACCAATGGCACGCGTGCCACAGTTCATATCTGTGGGCACGCGAGTATTGCTGTAGCTTGGGTCTAGTGCACATGCGTGCATACGTGCGCCGGCCAGCTGATTTTTGGGCCGTCCGGGCCCACTGGAAGTTGGGAAACGTGCCGTTTCCGGGCTCCGGAGGGCCTCCGGTGGGTGGGGAAGGCTGTTTTTGCCCTCCCCAGGATCCAAGAAAGCCCCTGGAGCCTGGGGAGGGCGAAAAAAACGGGTCTACCAGGCCCACCGGTAACCTTTTTGCCATCGCATGCCCAAAGTGTGTGTGGGGGCACGGGGGCAATGAATTATAGGTGTGGGCACGCACGCGCGCAAGCCCCCTGCGCAATCCCCCACTTTTGGCACGTGACGGCAAAAAGGTTAGCTATCATTGCCCTAGACCAGTGTTTCTCAACCTTGGAAGCTTGAAGATGGGTGGACTTCAACTCCCAGAATCCCCCAGCCAGCGGTGCTGATTTAAATGAACTTCATGGAAAGTTCATGGGGGATTCTGGGAGTTGAAGTCCACCCATCTTCAAGCTACCAAGGTTGAGAAACACTGCCCTAGACCATTCCAGATGGTCTAATGTCTTCTTAAAAGCCTCCAGTGATGAAGCACCCACAACATCCGGAGGCAAGCTCTTCCAGTGATTAAGTGTTTTCACTGTCAGGAAATTCCTCCTTAGTTCTAGGTTGCTTCTCTCCTTGGTTAGTTCCCATCCGTTGCTTCCCGTCCTGCCTTCAGGTGCTTTGGAGAATAGGCTGACCCCCTCTTCTTTGAGGCAGCCCCTCAAACATTGGAAGACTGCCATCATGTCACCCTTAGTCCTTCTTTTCATTAAACTAGACCTACCCAACTCTTGCAACCGTTTTTCATAGGTTTTAGCCTCGCAGTTCGAAAGCACGCACATGCAAGTAGATAAACAGGTAGCACCGTTCCTTGGGCCTCGGCATGCAGTCATGCCGGCCACATGGCCATGGAAATATATTTGGACAATGATGGCTCCCTTGGCTAAGGAATGATGATGAGCACGGGAATGGGACAACTCACCACAGCTAACTTGCTGCGGCCAACTCATTGCCGGACAATTTACCATTTCTGTTTAATTATTTCAAGTACATAAACATTATTTTAATTTTGGCCATTCTCACCTCATTCTGTCCCTCCTTTTTGCATCCTTTCTTTAGTGATTCTATTCTACCATGTCTCTGATATTAGTGCAACTCTTGTCCTGCAGCGAGTTGGTCAAATTTATCAGATTAATAGAGTTGGAAAGAAGGGACCTTGTAGGTCATCTAGTCCACCCCCCTGCCCAAGCATGAGACTCTACACCATTTCTGACAAATGGCAGTCCAATCTGAACCAGATGTGACAATCCGAATTGTCATAGACCCGATGAGCACTGACCCCTAGAATCGGACACGACTGGACAGGCGAAATCTTTACCTGTATTGTTAGCTTGGGATTTGCTCACCATAAAGTTAGCTGAAAGTTGGGTGTCCCAACATTGAGCATCGGGGACCCCGGTTCCTCCGTGTCCCTCCCGGAGACACCGACTCAGGTCTCATCCGTGTCTCTCTTTCCTTCCAGCATATCGATCCAGGTGCCCAGAGTTGCACTGATTGGTGTTTTAGGCGGTCCGGTGAGTGTTGCTGAGGATTTCCACTTTCTATTGCAATGTTTCTCAATTTTAACCACCGTGAGGCAGGTGGACTACAGCTCCCAGAATTCCCCAGCCAGCCGCATTATGAAATGGCTTCCTGGAATTTTCTGGAATAAAATCAAAACCTTTGATTTTAGCTTTTGATGAGCGGAAGGATTTTCGTAGTAGGCTCATGCCCTGGCATGCATAGACCCTAATAGTCCTCGACTTACGACAGTTCATTTAGTGACCGAAGTCACAACGGCACTGAAAAAAAAAAGTGACTTAGGATCGTTTTTCCCACTTATGACCATCGCAGCAGCCCCGTTTCAAGCTCCGAATGATTTACATTCGGAGGCTTGAAAACTGACTCACATTTATGACAGTCAGAGTTTCCCGGAGTCACGTGGTGTCCTTTTGTGACCACCTGACCAGCAAAAGTCAATGGGGAAAGCCAAATTCACTTAACGACCCTTAACCCTTATATCAATATAAGGGTTAAGGTTGAGAAACACTGATTTAAATATATTTAAATCAGTGTTTCTCAACCTTGGAAGCTTGAAGAAGGGTGGACTTCAACTCCCAGAATCCCCCAGCCAGCGGTGCTGATTTAAATGAACTTCATGGAAAGTTGGCATAAAAATTTAGGAAGCTAATGAGGGGGAAAAAAAACCCCTCATAAGGTTGTTTAGAGTCCGCGAAGGGACAAACCAGGTGCCAATTTAATACTCACAGGTATTTATCAAGGGACAACAATACTACAAAGTCCATGTTGTGCAGCCTTCAAATGAGACAACTAGCCTGAAAGATTATGAAGCATAACGTCAGGGTTGGAGGTGGTATTATTTTGATAATCGACTGCAATTGAAGCAAGTTCATAATCAAAATCGTAAGTTTTATTTGTCAAGCATATATAAGATAACAGGTAAAAGTATAAACATAATTTGAATACATGAAAAGAGTAAGTAAAAGGGAATAGTAGGACATGGATGATAGGCACGCTGGTACTCTTATGCACGCCCCTTACAGACCTCTTAGGAATGGGGTGAGGTCAACAGGAGACAGTCTAAGGTGAAAGTTTTGGGGGTTTGGGGGAAGAAACCACAGAGTCAGGGAGTGCATTCATGGCATTGACCACTCTGTTGCTGAAGTCATATTTTCTGCAATCGAGTTTGGAACGTTTTACCTTGAGTTTGTATCTATTATTTGCTCATGTATTGTTGTGGTTGAAGCTGAAGTAATCATTGACAGGAAGGACATTGTGGCAGATAATTTTATGTACTACTCTAAGGTCAGACTGAAGTCGGCGTAGTTCTAAGTTGTCTTAAACCCAAAATTTGGAGTCTGGCAGCATCAGGTATTTTATTGCGGTTAGAGGAATGGAGGACTCTTCTCGTAAAATATCTCTGGACTCTCTCGATTGTATTTATATCCGATATGCAGTGCGGGTTCCAGACAGATGAGCTGTATTCAAGAATTGGTCTAGCAAATGTATTGTATGCTCCAGTTAGCAGTACAACATTACCAGAGAAGAAGCTACGCAAGATTAGGTTAACAACTCTTAATGCCTTTTTGGCAATGTTGTTACAGGGGGCTCGGGCACTTAGATCTTTAGAAATGAGTACTCCAAGGTCCTTGACAGTTAGAAGCCTTTTTTTTTTTACTTCTCTCTTTGAACATGGCTCTCCCCCCCTTTTCCCCCTAACATTCCTTTCTTTTAATAAGCATTGAATAAGCTTTGTTATATTTTGCAAACAAGATCTCATCGTGTCGCTCGGTTCGGCTTCTCTTGCAGATTTGCCAGGCATATACTGTGGTGTGTAGGAGGCTGAATTTCCTGCTCGTGGTTGACTTGGGTAAGCAATCCTCGTTTGCATCCAGACAAGCATTTATAGCTAACCATGAAGCTGGGCTTCATTTTCTATTATCCTTCTCATCTTTCCTACTACCTGCTCCCGTTGGTACCTTACGACCCTCCCCTTGTTAGCATCAAATACAGCTAACCTGTTTAAAAAATGATTGAGCAGGTTTTCCACAATTTTTTTTTAAAAAAGAGGGGATATAATTTTTTTTAAATAATTGAAATAAAAATCTATTCTATGCTATTCTATGCTATGCTATGCTATGCTATGCTACGCTACGCTACGCTACGCTACGCTACTCTACTCTACTCTACTCTACGCTACGCTACGCTACGCTACGCTACGCTACTCTACTCTACTCTACGCTACTCTATTCTATGCTATTCTATGCTATTCTATGCTACGCTACGCTACTCTACTCTACTCTACGCTACGCTACGCTACGCTACGCTACGCTACTCTACTCTACTCTATGTTACGCTACGCTACTCTATTCTACTCTACTCTACTCTATTCTATTCCATATAAAAAAACCCATAAATCTTGGTCCTACCACGGAAGGGAAGGAAGTACGCATTCACACAATGTACTGGATCCCTCTTGGAAGAGTTGAGAAAAAAGAGGGAAAGCTTTAGGAGATCTGGATACCTTGTTGGGAGGATTCCTTACCGGGTTTAACCTGGATGGATTTGCTGCTTAGCATTAATGGGGTACATATTTCAGCTCAGTTCACATGAGACAGTAGTGCTGCTCAAACTTGGTAAGTTTAAGATATGTGGACTTCAACTCCCAGAATTCCCTAACCACTATGCTTTAAGACGGGTGGACTTCAACTCATGAGCTGGGGAATTCTGGGAGTTGAAATCCACCCATCTTGAAGCATTCTGACTAAGGAATTCTGGGAGTTGAAGTCCACCCATCTTGAAGCACGCTGGATGGGGAATTCTGGGCACTTGAGATCCACACAACTTATAATTGCCAAGGTAAAGAAACTTTGCATTAAAGCATCAACTGCCCAGGTTCCCACGCACAGCCTCTGTGGTTAGTTTATAGCTCAGTTTCCCATGCAAACCCAGAACATCAGCTTAATTGTTATTTTAACATTTCTGCATTTATGATTTTGCGCTATTATCAGCTGCCAGGGGTCGCTTTGGAAAAAAGGAGGTGGGTGTCATAAATGTAATAAATAACTAAAACAAAGAATTGAGTCCATCCTGGTAAAGATTAATTGCAGGCTAGCCTTGTGAAGGAACCCTCCTGCTTTTGTTAAGAATGGATGGAAGTTGGTTATTTGGTGTAGGGCAGTGGTGGAATTCAAATTTTTTTTTACCACCGGTTCTGTGGGCGTGGCATGGTGGGCGTGGTGTGGCATGGTGGGTGTGGCTTGGTGGGCATTGCAGGGGAAGGATACTGCAAAATCCCCATTCCCACCCCACTCCTGGGGGAAGGATACTGCAAAATCCCCATTCCCATCCCACTCCTGGAGGAAGGATATTGCAAAATCTCCATTCCCACCCCACTCC